AAGTGAAGCATGTGGACGCAAAGTAAGGCACTTGGCGACCCAGTTAAGAACACTCGGCGTCGTACTCCGCTTCGCCGAAAGCCGCACTTTTTGCCCTCGTTGGGGCGCCGCGTAAAGTATCTTGGGAGGTCGTGACGCAGGGAGAAGCCCGTCCGGAACGCGCGTTACGGCGCGGCGGCGCCTGGCCGGGACGTCGCGTCGCGTCGCGTCGCCGGCAGCTTCCACCCCGCAGCCAAAGACCCTTGCGCTTTTTGTCGCCACCTAATCATCAAAACTAGTTAACGCCCGTCGTACTTACAAAATTTTTTACATACAATATTTTATGATTGAGATTTATTTACTAATTAACTAATGTTAACTTGACTCGATTTGTCTTCTTCCGTCCATTCCTCGTAACCACGCATCCCTCGATCCCGTTAAATTATGCAGCATATTTCGAAGACAATAACAATCAATAGCGTATCAGTATTTTTTAAAACTATTTTTCGCCCTTGATTGATTTTTTAAGTAAACAATTCAATTGTAGAAATATTGCATAAACCTCTACTCATGTATTAACAGCAACTTTTGTGGCTTCCAAATAATTTTTTCGTCGTAAAGAATTAAAGGGTTGCGTATATTTACAGGACACCAATAGAGATCCCAACAAACTCTCAGTATCCTGGTGTAAAGTAGATGTGGCTCAGGTACACGCATAAGAAAACCCATGGCGTTTACCCTATCGTCCCAGCCCCGCTCTCGTTTATGAGCTGTTTTTCATTAGTCGCTGTCACATTTTCTCCTTCAGTATGTTACTCGCTTCCTCTCTCCATTTCGTAGACTCTTCCACGCCCATTCCTCAGCTTTATTCCGTGCCCTTGTATCGTCGCTCCAGGCGAACTTCGAGCGCCCGTCGGGTTCCACAACACGCTTGTTTTCAAAGCATAGCCCCGTCCCTTGAAGTCCTTTGCCCTCGCTCCCTTGCTGCTGCCGGCTTCTCCGCGGCCCCTCCGACGGACTTGTCACTTCCTCTCGGCCTGGTGACCTCAGTGGGCCGACCCGCTCCTCGCACTCGTGTCGCCGTTCCTCTGGCAGCCCGTATATTCTCGCTTACCTCGCGCCCGCCGGCTCTCCCTCTCGCCCTCCCGCTCGCGCTCAATGACCCGGCGGCGGGGTGAGGAGGGGTGCGGACGACAATTCCGGCAATTCCACCGGCAAATGAGTGCGTGACGTCACGCCCTGGGTCAACTGCCGCCGCCGCCGCCTCCGCCGTGTCGCCGTGGGACAAAGCTGATGAAACGTGGTTATGGCGTGTTTTTATCCCCCTAGGAAATTGCATGAAATTTGTTTACTGTCGTACACCGTATTAAAGAAAACTATAAGTCTTAAACGAGGCTAGATCTCATTGTTGCGGTGGACCGGGTGGACCTCTTTCCCGGAAACGAGTCACGTTGCGCAAGGTTGGGTTTCGTACGCGACGGTGGGCGCTGCTTCCCAGGTATTTGAGTCGGCTCTTGTGCGGACATGTTCGGCCCGTGCACGCACAGGTTCTGCTTCGTCACGCCAAGATTGACGCATCTTGTGCAACTATTTTTTTCTGTCAAATTATAATATTCTAAAGGCCATGACGCATTACGCATATTAATTAAAATTTGCTTCAGTTTCTTATTGGCCTGGATTTTGTTATGGATTCGGGAATGGATCCATTAAAAATACTTTTTATGTTAATGTTGCTAATTTTGTAGATCTTTGCGAGGAAGTTCGAGAGAGCGACTTGAGAAAGCCCGTGCCATATGTCTTCTTGCCCCAGTTAGGAATCAAGTGAAATTCATGACTAAGCATTGGCTCGAGATTAAAAGACTTTAAAGACTTACGTGTTCTCATTCTCAGAATACGTTAATTAAAAAACGATTTATTCTCATCTAATCATTGTGAGCGAGTACCAGACAGTAGTTATGTCCCCAAGCTTAAGAATAGAACTAGAACTTTTCATACGCATTTTCAAAGAACTGCTTAACCTGAATATGTCTTCAGAGGAGTAACTTTGGGGTCTGTGGAGATAAAAACATCTGTTGGCTTCCATTTCAGGAAGCCTTGGAGTTGCTTCTAGACCACGACTTCAAAAGTACTATGATGGGTACATCGTCTTTTTGACCTAAGAGAACGAAATTTGGTTTTAACCTTACTAGATTAGGTGAAATGCGTTAATTATTATTTGAATAATCGGTTTAAAAATTAAGCTATAACTATTCATGTGTTATTAAATAAAATGAACTTTTTAACATCCGCACATACCTATGGAGATCCGTTATATGAACATTGAGACTGTTTCAAGGGCGATGGTTAATGTCAAAAATTACTTGAGAATTGTCTTATCATTTTGTTTGAATTTAATTGTTCGCATTTATTTAAAAGTCCATTAGTTCATTCTAAGACTTTTTTTTACTGTAATAGATAGATACTAAGACTTTGGGTGTGTTTGGAGTTCGGAAAACCGTTGCCATATCGACAGTGGCGGCTTTCCGCAGAGCAGATGCCACCTGCTCCGTGCAAGGTGATTTCTTGCACTGTTATTTATTTATTTATATATTTATTTATACATTTATTAGTGTTTGCGGGTTCGTCAACTGCTAATGCCATTAGTCCAGTAAGTGTAGTGCATGTGTTTTCTTCGAGAGGTGGCGTTGATCTTCCCTGTTGGATGATGGGATCCGTAGCCGTCCTACTGTCCGCTAATAGGGTTTCCCTATCCAGGTATCTCCAACCAGCGGGACAGCCCCAGCCGGGACAAGCTCTAAGCTCCCCACTGGACTTTCGGCAGGTGTGGTATTGTAATGCATGTAAGGGTGCGTGTATGTAAGGGGTGAGGATATGACAAGGAAGAGGAGGGAAGGATCACGCGCGGTCCGTGACCTGTTTGTTAGGGACTGCTCCAGCATTCGCCTGGTAATCGGAGAAATCACGGAAACTATCGATCAGAGTAACCGGCCGCTAGAATTATCCTCCAGTCAGAGACTGAATTCGACTTAGTTGCTATCTTGCTCTTGCGACTTGAATCTAGGACCTTAAAGACACAATGGCATAGTAGATGCCCTGCGTCACCTCTCCCGGTTCGCGCTCCACCTGAGACTCCTCGCCGCAGGTGTGCTTTCCAGCCCCCCTCTCTCCCGTCCTCACCATTCACCACCACCACCATCTCCGCCGTGCTCTAAATCATTACACCACGCCACATGACGAAGATTTACTGGGTGTTTTGACAATGCCTCTGTGTTGCTGTTCTGTGAGGAAGAGGGACAAGTGAACAGGATTCTCAACATTGAGTGTGTGTGAAGGTCCATCCTGTGACACGGGGGGGGGGGGGGACTGAACGTTCTGTAATAAGAGTAAATGTGCTCGAGACGTGAAAAAATGACATTTTCTTTGTGGCGGAGAATCAATTTTATTTATCAATAAAATGTATTTTTAAATTTCCACAAAACTATTAACCTGACAGGAACATTGTAGAATAAAGTTATTATTGCGTGTTGGCATACCAATGGGAAGTTCTAAAAATCTATTATTACACGCACTGGTAGCTCATGTGGAATGCAATCGCATTTCAGATATCAGAGATCTTTCGGTTAAGATGAATGAGTAGATCTTTTTTTACATTTGTTTATGGACTGGGCTCACTTTCGTTTTCCTTATAAGTAATGCGTAGATATGTGGTCTAATAACTGATGACTCCAGGATATTGCTGCCGCCTTGTCTGTATACATTTTTGTACATTCTTAGAATATTTTTCTTATCCGTCAAGGAAATAAAATGGCAAAACAATGTGGAATATTAAAGCTATATTCTGTCCGCACAAGTTGTGCAATGTTAAGAACGAGCGCAATGACTCAAACTGGAGCATGTACTCCTTCGGGCCTAACCATACGGAGTAGGAAGAGTTTCTTGCTGGTTTGAGCTTCCGTGTGCTGCCTCTTCAGGCACGAAACTTCTGATGGGAACTTTCGCACCTATAGTTGATTTGTAGACCTACCCACCTATCCAATTTTGCTATTTTCCTAACTTTCTCGCCTGAAACTCGTGAAGTCCAAAGTTCACCTTAGAGAAAATACACGTTTCGCTACCACTTCCAAACTACGTTTTTGTAATCACGCGCATACTCTAATAGGTACATACACGCGTACTTGCTCACTTGTTCCCGCGCACCCGGGGAGCAGAATTTCACGTCTTGTTTCGTAGTCATGTTTATGATTTCGGGTGGAAAATAAATATTTCTATACAAACAGAAGGTTGAATCTTTGTCTTTCGTGAAGTTAAGAGAAAATATAAAGACGTATCACTGGATTTTCGTGTCGATGGGGCCAATTTTTCGTCTGTGTAAGAACTGAACATTAACTGAATTACAGTGACTATCCCATTCGTGAAATTAAATCCAGTAGTGCTTAACTTTAACTGCACATACAAAATGCCCCAATCAGGGCGATATATCGCTAAAAGTTCATCGCTTTTTCTATCCGATTTTTCTAACCGCTTATAATTACTTATAATTATAAACTGTGACTCATCTTAGGAGGAGGTATACATCTATCGCTATGTCGATGTCCAATACACAGGGTATGTACTATAACATAACCTCTGATTTTAACATATGCTTTCAGTTATTTTCAATTTCAAGAGTCCTATTAAACTCGTGCTTTACAAATTCTTAAATAGGTCAGAGGTAATGCAGTAACATCAGTTGATGCCCTGAGTCACGTAAACCGGTGTGTCGCGTCGCGTCGTGTTGCGTCGCGTCTGTCGCCGACGCGCGAACAGGAGAAGGCTGTTCCTCCGGAGAATCGCACGCCGCCTCCGCGTGGAACAGGTTCCGTCGGCGGGGCGGGGGCGGGGGCGACGGCTCCCCGCTGGGAACAGACGCGCGCCGCGTGGGAACGAGGAAACGATGTTAGTCTGAGTAGGCGAAAGTGTAAACACGAGAGAAAGATGAGTCGGGGAACGTGGAAGGAGTTCGTGGTGCCCACGAAAGCGAAATGAGGTTCGTGGGCGGTAATGACAACTTCGGATCTCGCTGGAGGCGTGCGGTTAGATATCGGTCTCTGGTTCATTGTGGTAGGTGAAGAGATGTAAACTCCAATGAGAAGTGAATATAGCATATTCAATTGCTTGTTTTCAGGATTAGACGTGTTTATGTTTTCGAGAAATATTGCTGATATAAAAAGAGATCAGAATCAGTAATGCATGCGAAGAGGAACGGTAATATTTTAACTCGGTAGTGGCGTAGGTCTCTGCCCCCACACTAGTTTGCGTTGTTCAATAAAAAGCTCCCCTGCGTGTAACTGAGTACTAAACATAAGTAAAACATATGCATCTGTGTTTTATAAAATACAGAAATATGTACTATAGAAACAAGTATACAATATCGAAGTATAACTTCTGTTTTATTAAAATGATTATCTCGCCTTATACAGCCTACACACGCGTATCGGGAAGAAAATGAACACCAATAAATGACACATTCCTATTTCTTTTCCAAAATTAGGTCTAAGAAGCAAATATTTTTCGAAAATGAGATCCAAAGCAGCAGCTGCAAACTAAACAATTTTAGGTTTAGTTAGCTCAAATACCGCTGAGACCGTTTTTCATCGTTTTTCATTTCATTTAAGGATTTGCTTTGTTAAGCTTATGGACGCTGCAAGTTGTTTATCACGAAATCAACATTTTGCGTATAGTAACTTAAATGGTCTCTTTCGCTCCAGAATTTCCTTCATTTAAGCCGAGAAGGAAAAGTCCTTCCAGGAAAAGGTACAGAACAACGGTGCCTTCAACCTGAGATGAGGCGGCGCATTCCGGTGAATTTCGTCGATGGGTAAGGCGGGCCTCGGAAGGATACGAAGTGGACAAGCGGTTTACCGACGACGTGGATTTTCGTCCTCCAATTTTCTCTCTAACAATGAACTGGACCCTCCTCTCTGCGATGTCTAATTATCACTGAGGACAATCACATAGATGATGCACATCCACGCCATGCCTTTTTGCAATACCACGAGAATTCATCGGAAAGATTTACCGCTGCTGGAACACTACAGCGTTCCGATGGAGTAGATGCCACAGAAAAAGGCGAACGTAGGTGCCTTTTAGGGCGTTTCTGTGTCAAAATTGCACAGAATAAAATTCAAGAAAGACAATGAAATTATTCGGAAATGGATACTTGATATGTTTTTGAGAAAATAATTCAGTACATATACATATCGGTGAAACATGTAAATATATGTATAAAAGTCAAAGTTTGTTAAAACTATTCAATATGAAGCATCAGCATAATGTATTAACAAAACATGATGTAATTAATTAGTTATCAATCCCATATTAAAATGTTGTCATTCATAGAATTATTTCAATATTTCCAGTGTTACAGAAATATCAAAACACTTAAATTTGCTTGTTATTTTTAAGGATGAACATGATTTAATTGCTTTGTGTTTTCACTAAAGGCTTACTTGCCTGAGGAATGCACACCATACAACATAAGATTTATTAATTCTGAACACTGCCTGAATTAAATCATCATCATAGAATTGTCTCACTTTGTGTGTGTGGGTGTGGGTGGGTGTGGTCAAATTAGTTATCTCAGTATCGATTGTAATGCCTTAAGATCATGAATGGAATGTTCTTTTTCTTACACTAGCTTTTGTTAATATACATTGCTTGAAAATTGTTTTTAACTTGTGGTGTATTGACAAAATGTATATTTTTATTTTATTTGTAGAATTTTTTAAAGTCCTGTTGTCCTTTTGTGTTGCAGGTTACTTACCACTAAAGATGATGCAAGCTGTTACAAACAAAGTTAATGAAGTATGTCTGCGTTTCTGCGACAATGGCAGAGTTGCGTCATTGCCCCCTCCTTTGCAAGGACCCTTGTTATCATCTTGTGCAGTTAAAAACTCCAGGCGCTGCATGGAAGATCGTCATGTCATTCTTGAAGATTTTCATGCTTTCTTCAACATTAAGGTAGATTTTAACTACTCTACTTTTCTGATTTTCCTTACATTAGTGTGAGTGAAAATAATTGTAATATTGTAACATCCAGTGTTTCTATTCCAAGTTTTAATGTTTAATTATATACTGAATTATTACATTATGAACCTGGAATAGCAGGTCGGCTTTTCACTTTTGGCATATAATTAATTCTGCATACCATAATTGCATATTTAAACTGTAAAGCCAATTACTGTACCTAAATACTATGCTTCAATTCTACCATTGGCATTTGCAATTGTCAGGAAGAATCTGATATATATTGTTTGTGTAGTAAAAAGAAAGTTAAAAGGTGCAATTAACAATCAAAATGTCTGTGAACAAAAACAGAATAAAGATCAGTAGTTAGAGTAGTTTTGTATAGTGGTTTTGGTTTCTAAATTGTAATTTTCTAATTTGTGCATTGAATATTTTGAAACTGTTATGTGAAGCTGTACAGCAGTAAGATTTCAATAGTTATCTTTGTGGGTGCTGTTTCAGGATGCAAGTCCTGCGAGTTACTACGCTGTGTTCGATGGTCATGCTGGAACCGATGCTGCTGTGTACAGTGTGAGCCATTTGCACCAGTTTCTGGCAGAGAGCCCCTTTTACCCTACTGATCCTGAGAAGGCAATAAAGGATGCCTTCTTCCGAACTGACACACTCTTTATTGAAAAATCAAACAAAGAGGTAGGAATGTCTTGCATGTTGTTATCTTGCTAATTTTGTAATTGTTAAAAATATTTTTATAGTAGTTGTAAAAGTGTTTTTATAGAAGTTGTATAGTAGTAGTTATTTTTAGTTTTTATTGTCTCTTTTATTGACTTTTTTGCATAAAAACCATTATTATTTTCGTATAATACTTCAGAAAGTTCCTCCATTCACAAAACAAATATTGACTTGTGTTAGTTGTGAAATTCATACTTTGGTTGGAAATATCCCTCTAAGAAATTAAATTTCATTGTCATTTATTATTCCTCTTCACTAATATCATTGATCAACAAGATAAGTTGCAATAGTTTTTATAATTTTCTCACTACTTTGTTTTCATTGTTCTGAGACTTATCAATTTATTGCATGGTGTATGTAATAAAACATTATGATAATCAAATTTCTATGTCATTTTAAAATATATCTTTTGAATATTTTCTCATATGAAGAATACCAAAAATGTATTTTTTAAGTGCAGAAAGTCTAAAATAATTTAGAATTTTTATTTTGTTGGAGCAACAGAAATTAAATAGTAATTTTATATTACGAGTTTGAAGGAAGTGTCTAGGTGAAGGTATTCTTAAATTCCGCTGACAAT